ACAGCAATTTTCCATGGATTTCCATCTTTAATAAGAGCATAAATCATTATGTCTCATATTTGAAAAAAATTCCATAACCACAGAGATGGACAATGCTAAGACAAAAGAGGGTAATAAAATAGAGGTAAAATGTTAACTTTAAAAATAGAACTAATTTTACACATCTCCATTTCAAAGAATAATACAACTGAAAATAGGGAAATTAATAATTATTGTCCAACTTTTATGAAAAGACTCCTTCTACTCATTACGGGGCTGTAAGATTAAATTATGTATTTACTTTTGGAGACAGACTATTTCCAAGGACCTGGAGTGACAGGACAAGGGGTACTGGCTTCAAACTGACAGAGAGAATGTCTGGGTAATATATTAGGGAGAAATTCTTCCCTGTGAGGGTGGAGAGGCCCTGGCACAGGTTGCCCAGAGAAGCTGTGGCTGCTCCATCCCTGGAAGTGCTGAAGGCCAGGTTGGATGGGGCTCTGAGCAACCTGGGATAGTGGAAGGTGTCCTCGTCTGTGGCAGGGGGATGGAATGAGAGGATCTTTAAGGTCCCTTCCAATCCAAATCATTGTCCAGTTCTATGATTATCTGATGATTCTATGAGTTTTATGGATCAACATGAGTAGTACTTTTACCGAAGTTCCATTTCAATTAGCAAATGAGGAGTCCAACCCTTCCAAACCTCTACGTATGATTTCAAACCTGTGAACAGTGTTGCCACACACTGATTTTGCACTGTGTGAAGCCAAGCATGTGTATAAGTCTTTTTATAAGTGGAACCATAGGATCTTTGTTCAAATTACTCTTCTTTTATCCACTTATTTTCTTGAAATTATACCTCAGATGTGACTTAAATAGAATACATGACCCTGACCCCAAGCGCATTTAGGTAATAATAAAGATATTCTAGCATTTGTTGTTGGTATTGCAGGTGCTTTTTGTCATTTATTTAAAACAGAGATAAAATGTTTGAGTCACTCTGAAACAGGGATATTTTGTCAACTAAGACCTGACAGCAGGGAAGCCAGTGCCAAATTGGCAACCAGTGTCCACACTTCAGCTGGACTTGAATTTTCCTAATTGCCTGTATTGCTGCTAGCTGACAAACAAGGACATAAGCAGCAGTGTATAAGCTGCATGCCATTCATTAATTTCCTCTCATGAGCCAATGTGTCCCCAGAGACTTTCCTCTTCTATCAGATCATTGCCCTGTAAGGAATGGATTTAAAATGCAGCTATCTGGGAACTTTGATGTATGCTCTTGAAGAAAAACCCTTTCTTGTGGAATGCTAGAGATTGATATTTCTTGTCCCTTGGCCTCTTCCCTCCTCCCATCAAACATCAGAAAACAAGTGGGCAAAATCCTTGTAGGCAACTGCTGTTTCTCCACTAGGTGCTTTCTCCCAGGAATGCAGGCACAAGAAAAAAATGTACAGCAGCAGATCTCTGGTCTGCTTTCATAGATGTGGGGGTCTGAGGTCAGCCCTGCAGATCTAAGACTGGGATTTTCCCTTTGGTCTTTGCATCTTGGCTGAGTTCTTGCTAAACCACTTGGCCTGTCTGTCTATAGGCACCTAATCCATGACGTCCTGCCGTGCAACAGGCAGCTTGGAGCTGCTTCTCCACAGAGCTTTGAATCACTGAGTTTGTCAGAACAAGTGGCTAAGTCAGAGTGGACGCTGCCTTATCTAACTGATTGCATTTGGAATGGCTTCATGCTTCACAGTGCTTTACAGATGCTTTTTTGGAGTGTTTAAGCAAAAGACAGCTACCAGAGGAAAAGCTGTTTCTGAAGACATTTGGCTCTCACAGCGAATTCTTTTGCCAAAGAAAACTCTGTGTTCCAATTCTGTGAGAACCACTGGAAACATTTCTCCTGCTGTTGTCTGCTCCACTTTGCTTTCTCAAGCAAGTGCCTATTGTCTTCACTAGAAAGGAAACATCTCCCTTAGACTCTCTTTTTCCCTCCATCAGGGCTGCTTCTTTTGATTCCTCATTTTTCCTTTTGCAAATATTACAGGTTTCTGCTGCCGACTACTTTATCTCCTTCCTTATCATGTTGCTTTTTGGCCAACAGTCTTTATAGAAACCTTTTTTTTAGCTCTGGAAATAAGGAGTGAAGAGGCAATTTCACATAATCTAAAATAGCCACCAGACCATTGTATGCTAAACAGCACTTTCATTTTGTATAGGGCCTTGTTGGACACATCCCTGGCTGCAGGAACTTGCACACCAGCCATCAGTATGTGTGTGTGGTATAAGCATCTAATGTGGCATATGATAGCATTTGATACATCAAAAGATGAAATTTTAAGCTCCAATACATTAAAAAAAGTATATGCTGACTTAACCAAATTCTTATGTCTACACATATTCAAGGGAGCACAAATCCAGCTTTTAAACAATTAAACCAAACTTTACAGCAAGCTATATAAAGTGACCTATTCCATCAAAGCATAGTTGCATCACAAAATAATCTTATTCTGCCTTCATATCTAGGGACACACATGCTGTGAGCTGCTTCATGTTAAAGCAATGACAAAAAGTATTTTAAAACTTTTTGCCTCTCCAGCTAATAAATCTTTTGGTACCTAATTTTTTAAGAGTATGTCTGTGGAAAGGCCAGTCTGGCTCAGAAAGTAAAAGGTTTCAAACTCTCTGAAGTTCCTTAGCCCTGTTTATCTGCTACCTCACCCAGAGATATTTAATATAATCATTGGAACATTTCCTGTTTGATTTTCTTATCCCTGTATGTTAAATTTTTCCCACCTCCTAATACCTTACAAGGAACATTTGTTATTATGGCAGGGTATAAAGCAGTCCCCTTAAGTGAATTTCTATTATTAAGAGGTCTTGAGATGATAAACTAAACCCCATTAATTGACTACAGGATGCATGAATGCTTAACCTATTAGTAATGTTTGCATTGTGTAATATTAAATGCAAAATTCATGTTCCAGTTGCCATATGTTCAACGTCCATCACCCCACCCCAATATCTTCAGGGATGCTCTTGGATGTAGGATCCAGCCCACGGGTCCCTTCTAATCTCGCTCCAACACTGCCTTCAGAGCTGCTACTCCAGCATGAACACAGTATAAGAAAAAAGCAACCAGGCAAAGATATTCATTAAGAATCCAATTTTCGGTTGCATCTGGCAGGTTTTCATGACGTGCCAATAGCATGTAATCAGTCATGCTAATGACACACTGCAAAAACGTTACAACCCACACAGCTACACAAAACATGAAGTGGGAACTACTTCCACTAAGCAGAGGGGTCTGGTATCACCCTTACTAAAATGACTGGTATAAAACATATTAGTGGGGAAAGCAGGACCACGACATTTCGGGACATTCCAATTAGTGGGGGAAAACCCCCCACGTTTCCTGAAACAAGCTGCAGCAAATGAAACTTGCACAGCAATTCCTCTGGTGCTAAGATGTCTGAGGAGGTCATAGCCTCCTGTGTCTGGAGGCAATCAAAGATGAGTGGTTTATGGCTTGTGTGCAAGTCAGAGTTATTGCAAATATAGGGTTTTATTTGGTGATACGAATTTAATGAAGTTTTACGAAGTAAAATATTTTCAATATTGACCCTAATGTTGATTTCATATTTGTGGAAACATGAGCAGAATATAGATTAAACTCAGTGTCAGGAGGAAAATGATGGCATTGGGAAAACAGCTAAGATTAGCTTCTAACCATAACGAAAAATATGCAAAAAACTAAGCTTTTATTTCTGCATTTAAATGGTTATATTATTCAATATAAACAAATAAATCCCATAAACAAACCCATACTTCTTTTTCAGAGGGGTGGGAATTTTAAGGTCCCTTCCAGCCCAAACCATTCTATAGTTCTGTGATATAGAACAGCTATTTCAAAGCAAGCCTTTGACCAGATCTGTGGTCTATTAATAACCCCTAACTGCAGAAATACCCTCCTGCCTGTCCCAAAGCCATGATGTCACCTTTCATGACTGACAGGAACCCTTGTATATGGCATTTTGGGGGCTTTGTGGTGGACAAAGGTCTGGGTACACTGTATAGGCTCCACCTGTCCTCTGCAGCAATGCTGGGACAGCCTTGGGCAGCAAGACTAAGAGGAAACTCTCCTTTAAAACCCTCTTGATATAATTCTGGTGTCTTGTGCTTCGAAAGTCTCCTTCCCATCCATGTGACTGTAAGAGTAAGTGCTATAAGTTGAAATGTTTATTAACCATGAGAGTCACTAAATGCTGGAGATGAGAAAAATGTTACAATTCCTTTGACAAGGAGCAGAAAATGGAAGCAGAAAATGGATGTACAAGATCACTTTGCCAATGGAGAGCCTACAAATCGTTATCTGTGCCCTGTCATTGGGGTGTTTCTACTCTCCCTTCAAAATATTTGACACTCTGTGATTCAGTTATAGAGGAGAGGGAAGCTATAAATCCATGACTGAGGGTATTTTCGCTTACTTTGACCAGTCCAAAGTGCTTTGAAATTGTTTTGATTAGATGGGGATTTATTGTGGGCATTATGCTGAAAAAATTAGAAATATCAGATGAGCAATGTTTGTTGCAATGATTTGAGATCTTTTAGGGCACATTTTGATTATTTTTTTTATTTTTCTTTCTGGACTTGTAGAATGTACCTTAACACTAATCATTGATCAGAGTAACTCACCAGAGGGGGAATTAACTGTGATGCTACCTCACTGCTTTTGTGATGAAGCTATAATAGAGCATCCCACTCCTGGGTAACTTTGTGCATGTCAGTAAATACAGTCCTGCTGACTTTTATTCACATGCTTGTACAGGACTGCACAGACTGAAGTCAAAAGGAGAACTCATATGCTTAGAGTTAAGGACATGCTTAAATATTTCCTGGACTGGGGCCTGCCTTCTCCCAGTGGAGAATTATGCTCTTACACAGGTTTTTGCCCCAGTGTGCTTGTGGAAATCTGGCCCTTTAAGTTCTGCAGAGCAGAACTGCTCCAGTCTTTCCGTAGCCATTTTGCAAGTGCTGACTGCTGGGAGCCTGTTCTGCCTCCCAACTGGTACCTGTCGTGCTTTTCCACAGCCCTCTCCTGATTTCTGAATCTCACATGTGGGATCAGAAAAGGTTCATCTAGAGGTAAGTCTGACTTTTCTTATGTGTTTGATCATGGTGAAAATGCTGTAGCACATCATTTGCTGGTATGAATATCCATAGCCTTGAAAAATTGTCTCTATTCTTTAGCCAGTACTGAAGAGCAGGGTTTGTTCCAGGATGCAGCATTTTGCCAGATTACACCGATAAAGCAGCCCTCTGTAGGCTACTTCTCTTGCAATTTGAAGCAATATTTTTGTTTTTCCCTCTAGCTCAGGCAGCTCAGTGCTTCACTGTCATTAGTAAATGCTTAAAACAGGTGCAAGGCAGGTGTTCTGTTTATTGCATAAGCAAAGTTCAGTATTCTTGGATTTGAAAATCCAAGGCAGAGGTAGCAGCTGAAGGTAATAAGAGGCACGGTAGCTAAAAGGGATGTGATGTGTCAAACAGATGTCAATGGATGCCATTCTCAGATCTCTGTGATTCACTAAACAGCAGCAGCAAATGTTGCCACCTTTGATACAAACCATATTATGTCAGCTAAAAATATTGATGCCACTGAATGGTTTAAAACTAGTTCCTGAAGGCTATAACACTGGGATAATAAGGATACTGGAATAATAAGGGTATTGGAATAATAACTTCAGAATAATAAAGAATAGTATTTGCAAAAAAAAGGAAACAAATTTGGAAGCCTGATTTCCATGAAAAAACAGAAGTTTTAATCGAAAGAGCTGACAGGTTTGTCTACAAATTAATGTTTGATGAAGCACTAGGGGATCTACAGAGTCTTCTTGTATGAATGTGGTTAGTCTGCAGGAAATTCATAAGTAAGCTCAGCAATCTGCCCTTTCCTTCCAGCATGCCAGCAGCTTATCCAGGGAAAATGTGAGTAGCAGCTACTATGTCATAAAGCAGTCACTGGTTATGCTGTAAGATGATGATCTTTTTCTGCCTTGTTCCTTTTTCAAGCTTTGCAGGAGATTTAGGAAGAGCTACTGAGAGTTTAAGATAAAAAAAACGCAGAAGCTGTCACTGTTCTATTGTGTACCACAGCTTGAAGGAAAAATATGAAACTTTTTGACTTAAACTCAGTGGGGAATACTGAGCTGGCAGAAAGCAGAGTGCAGAGATGCAGACAGTATCAGTGGCTGTGTCCTCTGCTGCTACAAAATGTGATGCTTGGGAAGTGTTAAGAGTGTTTTCAGCTCCTGAACCTGCAGTCTCTTGGATCTTGTGACCTGTGATTCTTCTGTGGTTCTTTGAGTGTTGCCGGTCCTCACTGTCAAACAGAGGAGCCACCGACAGATGAATATTTAAATCCTTGCTGCATTGCACCTGTTGCACTTCTGGAGTGCACAAATTATCTGCAATCACCCTGAGCCGGGGTACAGTTCATGTCTATGCTCTGCCTGGGGTCAGTCACTGCAGTCACAGAATCACAGCATGGGTCACACTGGAAGGGACCACAGTGGGGCATTTAGTCTCACCTCCCTGCTTCAGCAGGGTCATCCCAGAGCACATGGCACAGGAATGTGTCCAGACAGCTCTGGAACATCCCCAGGGAGGGAGACTCCACATTCTCTCTGGGCAATCTGTTCAGTGCTCGCTCACTGCACAGCAAAGAAGTTCTTCCTCATGTCCAGCTGGAACTTCCTGGGCATCAGTTCCTGCCCGTGGCCTCTTGTGCCATTGCTGGGCACCCCCGAGCAGAGCCTGGTCCATCCTCTGCCCCCTCCCTGCAGACACTGACACACATGCATGAGGTCTCCTCTCAGTGTCTCCTCTGGAGGCTGAACAGCCCCAGCTCCCTCAGCCTTTCCTCCTCAGGGAGATGCTCCAGTCTCTGAATCATCTTTGCAGTCTCTGCTGGACCCTCCCCAGGAGCTCCGTATTTCTCTTGAGGAGCCAGAACTGGACACAACATTCCAGATGTGGCCTCACCAGGGCTGAGTAAAGGGGCAGGATCAGCCCCTTTGACCTGCTGGTAATGCTCTTCCCCATGCCCCCTGGGATCCCACTGACCTTCTTGGCCTTCAGGACACACTGCTGGCTCATGGGCAGTCACAGCAATCCTAAATCACGGGGCCAAGTGTTGTCCTTGGAGCAGTGGAAATGGTCAGAGTGGCACTGGGGCAGAATGAGAGTGTTCATCCCTCTGGGGTTCAACATGCCCCTGGATTTCACTAATTACTTCAAACACCAGCAGCAATGAAGGCTGCTTTCCCAGCATCCTGCCTTTTGTGCAGGTGCCACAGGAAGATTTTTCTGTGGACTTGCAGCCCAAATGTTGCCTTTACAGGCACTAGAAAGCATTATCTGGTACAGAAGAGACGTCTGCTCCCAAGTGCATGCAAATGTGTTTTGATGTGCTGTCTTCCTACTCCTTGGCTGGTGTTATGGGAACAACATCAATACAGTGGGAAATCCTTTTAAAACGTCTAATATTTCACTGTTACTTTGAAGACTGCTGCCCTGGCCTGTGGGACAGAGCTTTGCTGCCACCCTGGAGGAATGTGATCCTGCCTTTCTCCCCACGAAACCGTCCTGGCTGAGGGCCTGGCAGAGCCTATTTCTGATAAAGCAGACGGTGTCTTTCCATTCAACCACCTTTCATTCAACCACCAAAGAAAACTTTGTTCTGCCTTGCTGTACAGCTGTTATTTTACAGCTCTGTGTTTCCAGATTCAGGAATCAGTTATATTTTTAACTTCCAAAATGTCTTTCCCATTAGTGCTTTCCCATTTGATCTGAGTGGGTGGCCTTCAGCTCCTTGGCCTCAATCAATGCTTAACCTTGCTTGGTCTTTTTACTGATTTATCCTGTCCCCTGCCCAGCCCAGAAATGGTTGATTGTCTTGCACCCAATTCATCACTTCTATTGTAAACTGCTCATTTGAGGACTGGCATTTTGTCCCCACTGCCCGATGTCCAAAGATGTCTCTTCCCCTCCGTTCCCTCCTGCCCTCCCTCTCTCTCTCTCCACAGCTCTCTTTTTTCACTCTTTGAAGCTGTTTGCCCTTTGGATTTCCATCTCCTATGCACCCTTCTGCATGACCCTTTAATTTTCAATCAGTGTTAACACCTTTAACTTCATTTTCAGTGCTCACACTTGTGCTGTAAACACCTGAGTCTTCCTCTTGACAGAACACCTTAATTTGAAATTCTGGCCTTGTGCTTCTCACTCCATACCACTTTCCTTTTCCTAACAGGGATTTGTAGATAAACCATAGTAGGGACAAGTCTTCCAGCCTGTGGAAGGCTTTTGGAATTGCAGAGCACAGTAGGTCTGTAAAAAAAGAAATCAAAAATCGCAGCCATTTCATGGGGCAAAAGGTAACCAATAACTATATAAATGTATATTTACCTGTGATGAACTACTATATTTTTAATTATTTTAAGAGAAAACTAATACCTTTATGGGATAGATTCATGTTGTCTCAGCATTTGACTGGTGATACCAAAAATCTCTCTCAATTAGCCCGAACACCCCAAAAGTAAGAAGCTCTTACTTTTAATCTGTAGGTGCACATCAAGCTGGGAGGAAAGTGGTCTGCAAATTGGGTTGTGATCCTGATAGATCCTCTTTTTGTCTTTCTTTTAAGTCTTTGACATCCCCAAGACAGGGATGCCCAACCTGTAGCACACAAGCTGCTTCCAACTGGCCAAATAATTAATCTCACAGTCTGGTTTGGCCACCTTTCCTTAGAGTCCCTCACATATGAGTGACAAGCTGATAAATTAATCTGAAGAATTAATTAGGACAGAAAAGAACAGAAAAGGAAACAGCCAGGAAACATGAACATCCAGAACATTCATCCAGAACATGAAATTAACTGTTATTGAAGAGAAATTTTAAGGCAAATGTGAGCAGTCCAACAGCAGTTTGTCAGCTGCAGTGACAACTATTTTACTATTTGTTTCGAACACCTCTGGATCTCCACAGTGAAGGATGTTCACCTATCCTGATATCCAGGATGACATCAAACAGCATTTAAGTCAAAAATCACAGGAAGGAGGCATACAGGAGGAGGCAGAAAGGAAATAGCCTGACACAGGTTGCCCAGAGAAGCTGTGGCTGCCCCATCCCTGGAAGTGCTGAAGGCCAGGTTGGATGGGGCTCTGAGCAGCCCGGTCTAGTGGAAGATGTCCTTGCCCATGGCAGGGGATTGGAAGGAGGTGATCTTTGAGATCCCTTCCAACTCAAGCCATTCTGTGATTCTTTAATTCAAAGTACTTTCATTATCCCACATAAAGTTTAAGGATCTGGAGTACTAGTCAGATCACAAGAGACAAAAAGAGGGTGAGTGTTTGTTCATCCATTTCTCCTATTACATAGTCTCCTCTGCTGGTAAGAACCCCAAATCTCCCAAGCTCTCTTGTCATGGTCCTATCCAAATTCCATGTTCAAACATTTGAAAAGTCTCCTCGATGGTTTTATCCTTCTGCTGCCAAAGAAGTAGTGTCTGTGCTGAAGTAGTTTGCGCTGGGTGGGGAGGAGATCTCCAAAGTGCCCCATTAACAAGTACTTGCCTTTCTGCTCCTAAAGGGCAGACCATATGTTCCTTTTCCAGCAGCCATCAAGAGCTGTGGCTGGGCAAGAGCTGGGCACTGAAGTAAGTCTGCATGGATCATCTGCGTGGCACTCACTGCCAGCAAGACAGGAGGCTGGAATCAGCTATTTTTAATGCAAATAGTGCCACTAAACACTGCTTCTTTTTGCTTGTGTTTGTCCCATATATGTTAAACTGGGAGAGGGAGGAGCAATCGTGTTGTACAACTGATATCTTACTTTTTCAGGTCACTTTAGGCTTGATCCACTTCCCTCTGGAAGAGATGGATGCTGTGTTTTGGCCCCACTGCACCTAATCTGACACCTTGATGCAAAGTGCTCATGACTGTGAGCTGGGGAGGCCAAGCTGCAGAGCTGTGTCCCAGTCTCTGCCACTCAACTTATAGTGACAATCACTTCTAATAAGGGGAGCAACAGCTTTTTTTGTCTCTGAGTTAAGGCAATACTGAGCCCAGATATCAACAGAAGGGGAA